TATATATAAACATACACACACACAAATATACATTTTGTCCAATTTACAAGTTCATCTGTATGAAAAGGAGTAGGTTGAAGAAAAAAAAACTTTAATAACATAAAAAAGATGAATGGTATTAGGAAATAACTTTACAAGCTGACTCTAGACTGAACATAAGCAAAGTGAGTTATTACAAGTTGAATATGAATAAAAGAAAAAGAAAAGGGAACTGACAAAACTAAGTTTCAGTTGTCTAAAGCCAGGGGCCAAACTTCAAACCGTGCTCTAAGCCACGRGCCAATTTCTGTCATTATTGTAAAAAATGTTCTATAACAAGTTATTCTTATCCAACAATCCATTTCCTGTACACGCTTAATCCTTACAGGGTCACGTGGGTCACTGGTGCCCATATCCAGCAGTCACAGTGCGAGGGGTGGGGTACACCCTGGACAGGTCGCAAGTCCATCACAGTTATTCTTATACAAAAACAAATCAAATTATTTTTATGCAGCATTTCAAAGATACATAACCTAACAGATGAAGAAAGAGGATTAAATTTAGACTACTTTACACTCATYTTTTATTTATTATTCTTAGAGATGCATTTTATCACAATTCTGCAAATTAGTAAAAAAAAAAACCCTAACTAAAAATCCAATTGTTAGACTTTGAAATAAGAAGAGAAAACAGAAAAGATAAATGAAGTTGACTACTGTGGTCAGGAGAAGAATGCTTTAAATACAGTGACAAAAAGAGAAATGGTAAATTACTAAATTATAGTGTTACCTTTGAAGCTGGATGAAAAGTTAACAAGGGCCCACGGGCCTTGAGTTTGACATATGTGGTCTAAAGTTAAAAGTTACAAAGATTGAAGCTTTTAGTGAGAAACATCACTTCTCACAGTAAAACATCAAGATTTCGCTGTTAGAAGAGCTTGTTTTGCTACATCTGGTGCTGGGTGGTTTGAATGTGTGCAGAGCACTATGAAATCAGAGGATTATTAAGACATTCAGGAGCAAAATATATTGCTCAGCACCAAAGAGCTCTTTCAGTCTCAGGCTTCTTCAAACAAGATAATGACCCCAAATATAAATCTGAAAGCACCGAAGAAYGAATAAGAAGAAAACATTAGACCATTCTGAGGTGACCTGCTCTCTGTCCCARTCTTAATCCAATTGAACATCAATGAGAGGAACTAAAATTCACAGCTGAGAGATGGCAAATGGAGAGAGCCAGAGCAGTTTAATGGGCCAGTTCACCACCTGAAAAGTGTCAGTGCCATTAAGAGCAACAAAAAGTGATGCTGTAGCCACAAAAAGGGYCTGTGATACTCTGTCAGGGTAAGGATTTACCACTTGTGCTCCAGCATTGAGTCATACTTCGTGTTAGTCTATTTAGATATACACTCGTGAAAAAGACTAAGGACCTTCTCTTTTATTTTTATGTAAAGATTTTGTTTTTTACCAAGATCCCAAATGTTTGCTAATTCAACCTGAAGTGTACAAAAAATACAAATCCCACCATGTCATTAATAATAAAGACTACAAAGTCCACTCTTTGTTTCCAGTTAATTTCTGATGATCAAATAAATCAGGTTAACTGATCATCAAGTGTGACCTTTTACATAAACCAGGAAAAAAAATAAATATCACCAGCAACAATTGTTGACTCAATCTGGTGAGGGTTAAAGGTTGTTTCAAGTATGAGTATGGCTTGTTTGGAATGGTTGCAAGGAAAAAAGCCATTTCTCTCTAAAACACTATGGCAGCAGAATTTAGAATTTCAAATGGGTTTGTGTACATTTTGTTTTTGTTTTTTTTCATTTTCAAACAGACATTGAAAAACAGGTTATTTTATTTTTATTTTATACTGTACTCCGAAAAATGAGAAAAATAATTTGTCGTTTTCAGACCATTTAAAGGGGCTATATCATGTAAAATCAACTTGATTTTTAAATCATGTTATCATGTTATCCTCTCATCAAAAACATGCCCAGAGTCTTTGACTCATTCATGCATGTTTGAGAAATCCTGTGCTGTCCTGAGGCAGCCAGGCAGGGGAGCAAAAATGACAGGTTGGGACTAGAACCGCCTTTTGGGGCCAGCTCCTCCTCTGGGCTGTGTCTCCAAACTGAGCTTCCTCGTCACAGAGCACACCTCCTCACCGCCGCCGCACCCTGCCCGTGACTCCTGCAGGCTCTCGGCAGCAACAAAGGAAACAACTGGTGAAACTGAAACTGTCTGCTGAACTCCCAGTGCTACTTCTCAGCGCTGCCATTTTCAGATTCAAAATACCTTTGAGGAAAAGTATTTCCAGATGTCAAGTAAACTACTTTGAGCCCCCCCAGCGTGTACCCTGCCCGTGACTCCTACAGTCCATGACGTGCTGAAATGGGCGGGACAGAAGCAGAAGGAAGTTCTTAAAGAGACAGAGGCAAATTTCAAGGTGTTTAGAAACAGAAATGGTGAGATGAAGAGTTTATTTTCTGTTTAAACAAAAAAAACAGCATTTAATAACAACTAAAGTTGCCATAGATATTTCATTATGTATAGAATTTAAATATATGCCTGAGAAACACATATTTCCCCTTTAAGATGGAGCAAGTTAAATAAATTTAATAACAGCCGACTGCCTTTAAAAAATTAGTTAATGATAGCCAACTACTTCTGCATTTCTGTAACAACAAACTGTTAATTGCTAATTTCTTAAAAAAATATATATGTAGCTCCACCTTAAATGGCCTAATAACGGGATGAATAAACACATTTTACTTATAATATCTAACCAAGCAGCTGCAGTAATTAAATGTTAGCCAACTAATTTTACATATTTACCAAATGTCAGCTGAGTTTATATATCACTGATGATTCCAACTGTTTCCTGGAGATTCTGGTGCTTTTAGCACTTATGCTAAGTTCACACTGAACGCGTTTTGAGCAGCAAAAAACCACCCAACGCCTCCAGCTGGATGCGTTACGTACAGACCGGGACAGAGACTAGACGCGTGTCTGAAAAGGGAGGAGCATCTTGGTTTTTTTTCCAGTCCGTCTACGGCGGATGAAATAAAGACAAAATAAAGAAAATGGCTTTGCTTTATTTACTAAAGAGCAAGCGACCGTTGCGCAAACCAGATAATTCACCAGATGATTTAGAAGCAGGTTGTTSAGTGAGTTTCACCTCTCCCAGAGCTGCGAGCTGAGAAACTATTTTTTGTCCCGAGCCCAGTTTACCACCGCGGCCAGTTTAATGAGCTGCTGACCTACATCGGTGCTGATATCTCCAGCCAGAACATCAACTACAGACGCTTGATTACAGCTTAAGAGCTCCTGTCCGTCGGTTTGTGGGCAACATTCAGGAAACTATCACATGGAAAATGAGTCTCTCTGATTGGTTGTCAAGACGCGTCGAGCGGCGAAAGATCAGATTTTTGAACTCTGAYGTTGGCTGCTTTCGCTGCCCCGTATGCACGGAAAATGCTCTGCCGTACCTTCCGCGTTCCTTGCACGCCACGCTAAATGGACCTGAGTCTTTTTTTGTTTTTCAATATGTTTTTTTTAAATGAACAACAAATGACCAAAAAGACCACATGAATGCACTGCAAGTCTTCTGGAACACTGTTCTTTAGACAGATGAGATTAAAGTAGTGATGTTTGAACATGGAGATAAACTGAAATTGACTAAAACTGAAATCAGGTGAGAACTATATCGTGTCTGTACACGTGTTTCCTTCACAAAAATCAGAACTTCCCTAAAAACTTTATTTGATGTGTTTTTTATTATTATTTTTTTAATATATAGTTTCTACTTCACAAATAGCTATTCTCTCATACTTGTACTCAGTGGTACCTTTAACTCTGTTGAACAAAAACAGGCTGAGTACAAAGGACTCTTAAACATGACTGCATGTCTGAGCTGGACTGTCACAGCCTCATTGTTAAAGCACCAGAAAACAAAAATCAGGCCCTTGAGGCTTCATATGTCACTGTGTTAAAATTCAGCTTTTTAATTCTATCTGTAATATGCTTGCTGCAAAAGTCTGGCCCATCTTGTAGAGCGACCTACCATAAGGAGGGACACATTGGCTTTCTTCTCTATTCAGGCAACGTACACAAAAAATAGGGTTCTAGCCAGAAACAGCTGGTCCTTCAAGCAAAGCATCTGACTGGTGTTTCAACTTTTCTCTTTGTG